CAGTTTAGCTGTTTGGTTAGTGTGTTTTGTAAACAGCTTATTTCGAATTTTCTTTTTAATTAAATGAATAATTTGTGCAGCAGAATTTGTTTTTCTCTCAACAAAATTAAAGATCATTGTTCAGAGCAGAAAATACCAAAAACATCATTTATATTTATATAACTAAAACATATCCGATCACATCAAACGAATATGTTACACATACAAAAGTCAAATGAACCTACACATACTACTACAAAGTATAATGAGAGCCCATAAAAAAGAAAAAATAACATGTTAAAATGACAAGTAAAAATATGATAATGTTAACTTTATAATGTAGCAGTATATCACGACCCATGCCACCTGCATCTGACACTCCAGAACCCTGATCAAATCTGTCTGACTGCGATATCGAAGAAACGTGAGAACTTGAATCACCTGTGGCTTTCTCCCATTGTCGTACTATTAAACACCAATGCAACACCACCACGAATAATGAAGAATTTTAAAATTGGCCCTGAACAATCAGGATAAGGCCTATATGACCATTTCATTTTCCAATTACCCACACCAGCATCTCATATTTAAGATATTTTAGAAGCTGAAAAATTATTATAAAAAGATACATTAAAATTATTTCAGCAATTTGAACCTTGCAAAAAAAGGAGGAAGTCCTCTCACCATAAACTTAATTCGTATACTTTTCCCTAGCTCATCTTATAGCATGGTATTGAACTAAAACATGGAATACAAGTGCACTTTAACAGAAAAATATAACACAAATGACTATTATCTGTTACTTTAACATCACTTTGCATGAATAAAGGAAATGGAATGGATTTATGAACTATTTCCTCAAGCTATTTTAAAAACTAGTAGCTTCGCAAATGCTAATTTGCAAAACTAAAAGATATTTATTCTCATCCAGGCTACAGCCAAACAATCACGGTTATCAAAGCACAAAAACAAAACTTAAAATGATAATAATAATTGAAAATGAAGGATGATGCAAAATAAAAAACAATCTGTTAACCAATGAGTATACATAAGCAAGGAAAGAAACAATCATATTTCCTTATGAGTATACATAAGGAAATATATGTAGTATATATAAGTTGAAACAATCTTTAATTCTTATTCCTTTATGAAATGCATTTCTCTTCCACAACAAGCATGATGCTCCTCAAAAACTTTCCAAAATAGCAATATCATGGAACATGTATGCTTATTTACTTTATAAGGAGCTGGATCTACTAATAACTTCGAGTTTCAACAAACAAGCTGATAAACATAAATCATCAAAATGACTTCATACTCAACAATTTGATGTTTAAATGCCAGGAATTAGGAGTTTGACAATAAAATTTTAGAACATTCAACAGCATGGGCAAAAAGAGCATGGAGACAATCCGAATTACATTTATACATAACTTCTTGTTCCAGTAATTACATCTCACACAAGTGCGTAGAACAGCAAGTAGAAAAAAAATGTATCAAACAGCGTTTTTTTAAGATCAGTAAAGGTTGCAAAATAAAATAAAAACATTATAGAAGAAAGAAAATTACATTATATGAATAACTATCGAACCATACCATTATTTTCCCTAATTTTCCAAGAAGTAATAAACGCATGCAAGTAAATTTCTCCGCAAGAGCGCGATTCTATGCAAACACAATCCTAATTGTGCCAAGATCTGTCCCTTTTATCATACAAATCTTGTCTCAAGTTTCATAGTCCAATGGTATCAGGAACCCAATTTACACAGAAAAGACGAGAAAACACGGATTCAACTTTCAATGGGCACCTAAACATAGGATTAATTCATTGAAAAAGGCAAAAACCCTAACAACAAAGGCGATCTCACCAAGTCTCATCTCTATTTACAGTCACGCATTCCAGATCTATAAATTAAATATTTAATCAAAACATGGACCAATTACAAGAAAATAGCGTAAGCACATGACACTTACATCGGGAAGCACAACATATGCTAAAATTAGTTCTTACACTTGCGAATGCGAGCAGCTGGGTAGCCGCAGGAAGAGCAGGTGCTCTTTTGAAGGTGAAAACTCCTCCGGCCGCACCGCACGCATAACGTATGAGTCTTGTTCCTTCTCTTGCCGAAAGATCCCGTACCTTTTCCCTGTAAAAGTAATGAGAAGGAGCTGGATTTGCAATTCTAACATTAAATTCGAAGCAAAGGCAAGGTTTATCACCATTTCGAAGAAGACCGGCGGCAGGAAGGAGGAGAAGGAGCGCAGAAAACCACAGATTGAGATGCCCGGAAAAGGAAGATAGGGCTTCGAACGAACAGAGGTTAATGAGGTAAAAGAAATCGCGAAACGCGGACCGCGTGTTTTAGGAAATAGAAAACGCAGTTTTAAATAATCTATTAAAAAGTGCGAACCAAACGGTATGACGGCGTTTTCAAAACGCCGCCCGCACTTATAAGCTGCCCCAAACGGGCCCTAAATTATCATGGATAAGGTGTTGCATTTATAAATACCAAAAAATTTAGGGGCATGTTGAGGCAATAAAGTATAATGCTTTTTGAGAAAAATAATGAAATTTCAGACTAGGGAGAGAAATCCAAACCAGAATGATTGGTGGTTTCGTCTGTGGGTTAAAATCCACAGACCATTTCAGAATCTTCATTGCTCTGTTATCATTCTATATTATCCTTCTAGCAAATAAGCGCATGTAATCTTCTTCATTGCTAATTTGAATAAGAATGTGTCTCTCATCTAATAGCCCGATTTTCCATTCTCCAACAAGGTGCATAAATTTAAATTCTTTGCGAATGAGCTTCATTTTGGGATGACCATATAGAAATTTCTCAACTAAATTCAGAAGACAGGAGGAAGCAAGTTGAATAACTTCAGCTTCTGTA